ATTTCTTCTTTTTTCTTTTTAAACAAAAATGAAAAAATTTAACTTGAGTATAGTAAGACAGTATGTATACAATAAGAACAATGATCACGTAAAGATTACATTCACAATGTACTGAATTCCAATTCATTTGTGTCTGGTAAATTTAAAAAAAATATTCCATTATCTATCCTATCTTAAAGAATCTAAAGTTTTGTACCTAACTTACTTTCTATCATATCTAAGAAAAAGTGCAACTATAACTATCTAGTTTTCAACTCCATCAAAAACATTAGAAGGATATTTTATTTAAATAAACAAAAGTACATTGCAAATGACTTCCAAACTCCTTAGAAAGGACAGAGTCATCTGACTGCCTGGATAGTCCCCAAAGTTCTTTTGCAATGTTGGGGCATCCATCTTCAGCCTAAAGGCCCATAGTCTCTGGAAGACTTCTCAATGAAGCAGGAAATTTGAAAGAATGTCCCACCTACATTGACAGTTTGTCAACCACTTTCTTCTGCATCCTGCAGAATGTCTGGCAGTTTCTTCTGTGAAGCAGGAATCCTGAAGGACCATCCCAACTTGTCTTGGTAAAATTCAGCAGTCACTTTCCTGTGGGTCCTGATTGTCCAGGTTTACAGAGCATACTGTTAAGAGGTCCAGACAAGAGCAGCTTCTTGCCCAAATGGCTAGCCATGCCACATTGAAAGCAAACACCATAAGGAGTTTCTTCAGCATCCATCATCTCTGAAGTAAGTTGGTGCTGCAGGAGCAGATGTGTCTCATTGTCATGAATAAGCCAAACTTAGCAAAACATCTTAACTGTTTTGTAGGTCTTTGAAAGGTTTAAAGACCATCTATCTATCTAAATTATATCTCTATATGATCTGGAAAACATACCCAGCATATTCACAAATTTGATTGTCATAAATCACTAACTACTGACCTGTGTTTCTTAATTATCCTAAATAGTTTATAATAATAATTTTCAAAGACTAGAATTTTGCCTTACATTTTTAAATGATCTGCATAGGTACAATACCTTAAACAAGAACAGAAACATACATACAATGTGTTGTAACAAAAATAACCTTAAATTTGTATCAATATGTAAAGATCCTTTAAACAAGAGTAGAAACATATATACAATGTGTTGTAACAAAAATTACCTTAAATTTGTATTAATATTCAAAAATCCTTTACACAAGAGAAAAACATATATACAATGTAACAAAATTGACTTTGAATTTGTATCCATATACCAAAATCCATGCCAAGGCAAAATGTCTGCGATTACCTATTTTTCCTATATTCCTATATTCCCCTAAACTATAACAAACATCCATGACCCACAAAATAACCAAAAGCCTCCCACAACCCACTCTTGGGAATGTGGACATTGTGTTTTCTAGACTGCCTTCTGCTGAATGTGGATCAAGGCATCTTTAGGGTCCCAAAGGGAAAATTGAGATAATGACTAAGTCCTGTGAAGACCAGCATTAACCTTTGTTGATAGATATCACCTGTCAAGATTCAGGAGGTCTCCCCTGATCAAACCAGATCCAAATCAAACTGGAACAAATCCACAGTCTCTTGTTTCCTGGGGGGTGGGGGTGGGGCGCTCCTCCAAAGCATTTTTGATTCTCATTTGTCAAATACATTTTTTTGACTTTTTTTTAAAAGTTAAGGCATTCTTTAAATATCTACCCTGGCTTATTCCACAGTCCCACTTTCAGTTCCAGGTCTCTTAGCAGCTTCCCTTAGCTTCTCAGCAATCAAAAAATTCAAAATCAACACAAGTGCATACAGGATTCAGACTCTCTGTGTATTTCCCATCTTTATGTGGCTTTTTTCTTTTATATTACTTTTACTGTCTCTTTAAAGACTTTACTAATTTTTAAAACTATTTCTTTCTATAACTGCCTATAGCCATTTTCTTTCTTAATTCTATGCACATTGTAAAACACACTGGAACTTCTTTAGAGGTTTTTTTTTTATCTGAAACTCTTTTACTGTGTATCTCTAGTCTTTTTTGACCACACAAGCACATTTTAGACTGTTAAGCTACACCTGGATCTTCCGCATTCTCCATAGGCTGATTCTGCCCACTCTCGAGCCGAAAGCCAAGAATTACATTAAACTTTCCTAGCTGTGAAAGCCAGTACCTGTGTTCCCACATGCAGTTTTTACTTACCTTGTTAGTTCTAGTTTCTATTCTGTCTGCTGAACATCAGCAACACTTAAAGGAGCCATATCCTTCCCGCCCCCCACCCCCAGTTTTCTCAGGCTCTAGATGGATATTTGAGCCCCAACTTGGTACACCAAAATGTTGTGTGAAATTTTATTCTTCACTGGGTGTCATCCAGTTTCCAAATAAATCACACACAGAGGCTTATTCTTAGTTATGAATGCTGGCCTTAGCTTGGCTTGTTGCCAGCTTTTTAAAAATTGTCCTGATTACCTTTTGCCTCTGGGCTTTTATCTTTCTCTATTTCTGTATACATTTCTTTAGTTCTTTCTCCATGGCCTGCTGTGTTGTGGATGAGTGGCTGGTCCCTCATGTCCTCCTCTCCTTGTTCTCTTGCTCCTTCTTCCTTGTTTCTCCTTCTATTTATTCTCTCTGCATGCCAGCCCTGCCTATCATTGCTCCTGTCTTGCTATTGGCCATTCAGCTCTTTATTAGACCATCAGGTGTTTTAGACAGGCAAGGAACCACAACTTTACAGAGTTAAACAAATGCAGCATAAACAAAAGTCACACACCTTAAAATACCACACTTAAAATTTTGTCACACACCTCCCAACAGACAAGGGGAGGGAAAGATGAACAGGAAGAAGGGGAAGAGGGAGAGCAGGACGGGAGGAAGGGGAGAAGGAGAAGGAGGATTAATACACAGGTTTGAATAAGAAGATTTTCTGTGTGCACAGAAACAACTCTGTACATGAAGCAACATTTAAGTACCTCTCTAATTATAACAGCAGCTACAAGAAAACAGGCTTGAATAAAACACAAAGGCTATAAACACTGCCGGTGTGGGTGACTGCTTTGTCACTCTAAGCATCATTCACCTTCCCTGTCTCCAAAGGACATTATGTCCATTACAACACACCTGCTTATTGAGTGCATCCAATTGTAACCTAGTCAGGGTCACCATTGCTGTGATAAAACACCATGACCAAACGCAACTTGGAGAAGAAAGGATTTATTTGGCCCTTTCTGCCCTCATGAACTCCAAGGTCTCACTCCAGCGGCTCAGGCACTTCCCTCCAGCCCAGAATTTCCACGGTGTGCTACCCTTTCAAACACACAGGAGCTGGAGACATGGCTCTGCAGTTAAAAGCACTTTCTGCCCTTCTGAGAGGGCCAGAGCACCCATGAACAGAGGCTCACAATCATTTGCAACTCCAGCTCTGGGGGAATCTGAAGCCTCAAGTCTCTATGGACATTGCACTCATGTGCACACGCACATACACATGCACACACACACACACACACACATAAAAATAAGTAAATAGGGGCTGGAGAGGTGGCTCAGTGGTTATGAGCACTGATTGTTCTTTCAGAGGACCCAGGTTCAAATTCCAGCACCTATATAATGGCTCACAACTGTCTGAAGATCCAGTTCCAGGACACCTGACATCCTCACACAGACATGCTTGCAGGCACAACACCAATGCACATAAAATAAAAGTAAATTATTTTGAATAAAATTAAAAAATGAATAAATCTTTTTAAAAGTATACGTGTCTTGCCAGGTGTGTTGGTGCTTGCCTTTAATCCCAGCACTTAGGAGGCAGAGGCAGAAGGATCTCTGTGAGTTCCAGGGAGCTCCAGAATGGCCAGAAACACATAGAGAGACCCTGTCTCAAGCAAACAAAAAGGTACCCATCTCTTTTTAAGTAAATTATCCATTAAGTTGTTTGACCCCCCACAGCAACTTTATGCAATAGGAACTCCCCATTTGACAAATTGAGAAACTAAGGCACAGAAAGGTTTTAGCACCTGGCATAAGACTTTCTGATTTGAAAACATGTCTTATGACTACAGGTAAATTTTTTTAAGCTTAGTTTTTGTATGCAAAGGTGTTTTGCCTGCTTGTAAATCTGTATACCGTGTGTGCCCGGTGTCTATGAAGACTAAAAGAGGGCATTAGATCCCCTGAACCCAGAGTTAACAGAGGGTTATAAGAATTGAGCTAGGGTCCTCTGAAAAGGCAGACAGTGGTCTTAAAAACAGAGACATCTCGCCGGGCGGTGGTGGCGCACTCCTTTAATCCCAGCACGTGGGAGGCAGAGGCAGGCGGATCTCTGTGAGTTTGAGACCAGCCTGGTCTATAAGAGCTAGTTCCAGGACAGGCTCCAAAACCACAGAGAAACCCTGTCTCGAAAAACCAAAAACAAACAAAACAAAAAAAAAAAAACAAAAACAGAGACATCTCTCCAGCCCCCAGTTAAAATGTTTTGTCTGTCTCCTTCACTGGAATTTGAGATCCAGTCTGTCATATTTAAAACAGTATCTTCTTGAGCCCAGTCCAATACCTGACACAATAAGGAATCAAAAGCTGATTCAGCAAATGAAAAGGTGTGGGGGAGGGGAGGACTCTGGTTTTGAGACAAAGTCTACCACAGCGAGCTTCGAATTCAAGCACATGATCTCCCCCTATCAGCCTCAATGGTACTGGGCTTAGAAGCATGCGCCTTCCGGCCCCTCCAGGGTGGCTTGTTTAAGAGCATGTGCTAAGCATCATTTGATGCGTAGTGGGAGCCCGACAGTCAATCACCCAACATCCCTGGGCGCTGAGAAGGTACAGTCCACGGGTAAGGGATTCGGGAACGCCCGTTCCGGTCCCCCGGAATCCCTACTCCGCCTCTTTCTTCTTCCTCTCCATCCCCTCCGAGGATCCATCCTCCGGGATGCCGGGATACCGAGCCGCCAGCAGCCGGCGAGGACCAGTGTGCGCGGGAGAGCTCCATAGAAGGCGGTGCGCATGTGCAAGGGCCAGCGCACTGCGCATGCGGGAAGATGGCCGGCCCGGGAACCTGAGCTCCTCCGCGGTCACCCTGGTCCCCTCCGCGCCTAAGCTCATCGGTGGGCGAGTGGGACCGCGGCGCTCCGTGGGTGGAGCCGAGGTACTCCGTGGGTGGAGCGGGCGGCCGGTCGCGGCGCCCAAAGGGGCCGTGGAGCCGGAATCGCGCGCGCCTTGCCGCCCGGGAAGGCGGGAGGGCGCGAGGGGCGCGAGGGGCGCGGGGCAGCATGAGTCAGCAGCGACCGGCGCGGAGACTGCCCAGCCTGCTGGTGGATCCGGCGCAGGAGACGGTGCGTCGCCGGTGCCGGGACCCCATCAACGTGGAGAGCCTACTGGTGAGCGCAGGCCAGGACCACCGGGAGTCACGTGCTGCGGGGCGCGCTCTTTCCGTCTGACCCTCTGCACTCTTGTCGCTTGGGTGCCCCGGGCTCTTCCTGCAGCTCCCCATCCACGGACCGCCCTCTGCTTTTTACATATTTCTATTGCATTACTTACTTTGTGGGTGGGCTGGCGGGAGCGTGGATTCCACGAGGCAACTTGGGGAAGTCTATCCTTTGCTTACACCTTTGTGGTTCGCAGCCTGGAATTTAGGTTGAGTTTGTAAAGCTTGGTGGCAAGTGCCTTCCCCGAACTGAGCGATCTCGCCCTCCCATCTGTGCTGTTTGACTGGGGCAATGAAAGAGCGGCAATTCCCACCATTCCTGGCTTCCGACGGTTCTCGGGGCTCCTGCTGGGTCCGTCCTTTGTCCGCTTCTCCTGTTCGCTGTTTTCTCTCCAAGACAAGCAATTTCCAAAGCCGTTCTGGCCAGTCCCGTGCCAACTAGTTCATGAGCATGGTCTGCTCACAATAACCTTGAGATTGTTATTCTTAGAGTTTGTCAGAACTTGTTCTGATGTTGTGTGGCTGGCTTGTGGCTAGGTAATGAGGAAGCTGGAGGAATCTCAGAATGACTGCAGGTGACAGCCTTTCCCCTAATTTCTTTCCCTTCTTTTAAAACAGTGATTTCTGCTCGGTATCCACTTGCTCTTGCATTCCCACCCAGTCTTAAGCACTCTGTAAGGTTGTTCTAAATAAGAGCTCTGTCGGTTTTTGTCAATTCTAGTATCGGTTTCACACCTTATCTTGTTTAACAACTAACCACTCACTCTTGGCTGAGAATTCTCTGCTGTGTTTTTGACAGCCACTGTGGGGGCCCCTTGTCTCCTTCTCTTCCCTTTTCAGACATGTGGGTGCCATCCAGGGTTCTCTACCCTCTGTTCATGTAGGTGGCCTGTAATATTCCTGACTTTTGGCCTGAAACCGCGGTGTTTTCCTGAGGATTTCCTAAAGCCCCTCTAAATGCTCACACTGGTAAAACAACACTTAACTTTCCATACTGCATCAAAAGATACTGCCCTCTGAAGTCTTAGATATTCTAATCCAAGCTGGTGATTTCAGTAGCATCAAGGTAACTCCCAAATCCATACATCTTCCCCAGAGCTGTCCAACTGTATGTTAGATGTACCTACTTAGATCTAAAACTTAAGAAAAATATGTCTGTGTGGATGTCATGTGTGTACTGGTGCCCACAGAGGCCAGAAGAGGGAGTTGAAGTTAGCAAGAGGTTTTGGGTTGATATGTGGTTGTTGGGAACTGAACTCAGCCCTCTGGAAGAGCAGCAAGCGCTTTTAACTGCTGAGCCATCTCTCCAGCCGCAGATCTCAAACTCTTACATCCATAGCCAGATTTAGGGACCCCTTCTTACCTAGGAAAGCATTCTCTTTCTCACATCCCACCCCAGTGGTGGCACACCTACCCTGCTGCCCAAGCCAGCACTCTAGACTTTGCTGTTGCCTTTTTTTCTTTTCCAGAATGGGCCCCTCCCCGCAAGTCTCTGAATTAACATCAGTAGAGCTACCTCTCTTCCCGTCATATACTATCTGGCACTACAGTGCCATCCTGACCTATTTCCTGCCTCTCTTGCTCCCCTCACTGTTGGTGTGAACTTCACCCGTAACCAATGATCTCATGAAAGCGTGTTTCCGATCTCATTTGCCCAGAGGAATTCGTTGTGATTCGCTGATCTCCCAGGACAGGGTCGAAACCTCTTAATATAATCTAGCTGCAGGTTTTTCTTTCTTACATTATTCTTCTATGGTTCCATACTCTGTCCAGGCCTCGTTTTCTCAAGCTGACACCCGTGTATACATTTCCATATTGTCACCAACATGTCTGAAGTCAAGCTTCACGGGTAACTTGTCTTTAGACAAGTGTCTTTACCCCTTCCTTAGCCCCCAGACCATTCTATGCTCACTGCTCCGTCCTCTGCAGAGCTTGGGTCTTTCCGCTCATTTCATGCTACCATGAAGATCTGGCCGCGCACAGAAACATTAAGCAAGAAGTTAATCAAGTTGGAGACTCTGTATTTTCTTGCCTGTAAAATAGTGACTTAACATGTCAGTGGTTTTTTAATCGACTAAAACAATGCCAAAGCTTAATAAGCCATTGCACGGAACAGTTCCATGTCTTGCTGGGTGCTGGTTGCCAGGATGAGTGGCTTAAACCTGGTGTGGGCTCTGGAGCAGGGAGAAAAATAGCACTGGAAGGAGGTGAAGTTGGTTTGCACATTAGCAGATAAGGACGATCTGGGTGGGTGACATTAATGCGGTCACCTGGGAGAGATCAGTGTTCCCTGAGCTCATGGAGTATTGTTCTGACGCAGGGAGCTGGTCCATAGAAACCTCTGCATAGAGAGAATTAACCATTTTGGAGACAGTGCCCCGGACGTTAGTCTCTACAAGTCACCTTTCATTTTTCTCATCCACCTTTAAAGCTAGCCAGGCGTGGTGGTCCTGCTCTGTCGTGCCAGTCCTTGGGAGACAGAGGCAGATGGGTGATGAGTTAAAGGCCTGCCGGGGCTGCATAGCAAGTTCCAGACCAATCTGGGCTATACACTGAGCTCCCATCCCCTTTCTTACCCCAATCCTCCAAACTGAGAAGATTCCGAAGCCGTATATAAGGGGGATGGGGCCAGGGGATGGTAATGCTTTCCTGTGTGTTTCCAGATGTGACACAGAGGTGTTTTTTTTTTTTTTTTAAGATTTATTTATCATGTACAGTGTTCTGTCTGCATGTATCCCTGCACGCCAGAAGAGGGCACCAGATCTCATTACAGATGGTTGTGAGCCACCATGTGGTTGCTGGGAATTGAACTCAGGACATCCAGAAGATCAGCCAGTGCTCTTAACCTCTGAGCCATCTCTCCAGCCCACACAGAGGTTTTTAAACGTGGAAACGGAGCATCAGGGAATTAGTTTGGAACACACCAAGTGTGTAACTCCCTCATCAAGGCCATTGCGAGTGTTCTCTGAAAGTCCTGAGGTCTCTAATTGTGTCTACTGGGGGGTGGGGGGCTTCTGCCCTCTATCCATGTGGCAGCAAGGTGGGTTGGTGGCTCTGCAGAGTATTGTGCAGGCATGGTGAGGACACTTATGTGGTCCTAGCACTCAGGAGGCTGTAGCAGAAGGATGGCATATTTAAAAACAGCCTGAGTTACATAGGAAGTTCTAGAATAGCCAGAACGTAATAACAAGAAGCTGTTTGAGAAACAGGAGGGATTTCATACAAGGGAAGAAAGCCAATGGTGGGGTGGGAACCTGTTTCCTGTGTCACTGCAGGCAGTATACAATGTATCTACGTTTATTGCAGAGTGTGGAGCAGGAGAAGGATTTCCTTTCTTATGTCTCATTGGAATGCTGTCCCTGTACCAACCTGCGAAAGCAGAATCGCTGGCCCTCTAAAGGAAACGGGCAGCCGATAGGTAGGCAGTCTGTGTACAGGGCTTGGCCCTTATCTCTGGGTTAAGAAAGGCAGCTTCTGCAGCAGGCAGCTATGAGTACGTAGTAACACTTCTGAATACTTGTTGACATGCTTTTCACATCAGTGTGAGGAGGCTGGACTTGTTACTCAATTCGAGAACCTTGCTATGAGGCGGGAGTGTGTGGCTCAGTTGGTAGACTTACTTAGCATGTGTGTAAGAACCCCAGTTCAATCCCAGGACCAAATGAACAGGCATTGGGGTACATATCTGCAATCCTGGCACTCAAGAGATGAAAGCAAGACGATCAGAAATTTAAAGCCATCCTTAGGGACAGGTTGAGTTTTGAGGTTAGTCTGGGCTATGTAAGAGACCCCCTTCTCAAAAAGCCTTGTATGCCAGCAAGATAGCACAGTAGGTTATGGTGCTTGCTGCCAAGCCTGGCAGCCTGGATTCAAACCCCAACCAAGAACCGCATAGTGGAAGGAGAGCACTGACTGACACCACAGAGTTGTCCTCCGGCCTCCACATGTACACCACAACACATACATACACAAAATACATAAGTGTAAGAAGGAGAAGAGGACCCTTGCTTCGGCGGCCAGCCTTTTCTCGTACTGTGTTTGGTGAAGGCTCTGTGTAAAAATAGCAATGACAGTTGGTCATATTTCTCTGTGGTCGAATTTCTCAGGTCTGCTTCAGAGCTCTCACGTCGGATGTCATTGCCGGCAGTGTTGAGTTAGTCCCTGCCCACAGAAGTGTCAACTTCAGGGTTGCACACCCTGTAGGCCACCTGCTCATTTTAGTCCTAAACTGTCCTAAAACTGGTTTTGTGGCAGGATGTCATCTCAAGCTACTACCAGATGTCTGTCATCTTTTTCAGAGGTGACAAGACTCATATGCAGAGGCTCTGTATATCTCTGGTGTGAGCTGCTTCTCTGTTGCCTGCCTGGGCTCTGGCTGCCCCACCCCTAGCCCACCTGGGTTCTGGCCAGCCACCCCTGCTCCAGCTGGGCTCTAGCTGGCCCACCCGGACTCTGGCTGGCCCACCTAGGCTCTGGCTGCCCCACCCCTGCCCCAGCTGGGCTCTAGCTGGCCCACCTGGGCTCTGGCTGCCCCACCCCTGCCCCAGCTGGGCTCTAGCTGGCCCACCTGGGCTCTGGCTGCCCCACCCCTGCCCCAGCTGGGCTCTAGCTGGCCCACCTGGACTCTGACTGCCCCACCTCTGCCCTGGCTGGCCCACCCTACCTTTAGCCAGCTTGCTGTCCCTTTCGTGCCATATTTCTTAGACCAAGAATGAGATTGTGTTGTGGTCTTGTTCAGAAGTCTTTGGTGGGTCTCTGCTGGTTAAAACAAGACTTTGGCATGGTCTTGATGTGCTTGGCCATCTCTTCAGGTACAAACCTGGACCATTCCCATGTGGCCATAGCGTGTACCCAGGCAGGGAACAGTATTTTTATCTCTCTATCCATAGCATTTACTGCTTGGAGTCATGTCCTAACTATCATTCTTCACCATCTTCTCCCCAGCACCTGCTGCAGTCAGTATAAGAGTGTCTGATGGAGGAAGGTCATTGGTTAAATAAAAAGAAACTGCTTGGCCCTCATTGGTTAGAAGATAGGTGGGAGGAGTAAACAGAACAGAACGCTGGGAGGAAGAGGAAGTGAGCTCAGACTCCACAGCTCTCCTCTCGGGAGCAGACGCCTGAGAGAGACGCCATGCCCCGCTCCCGGGCAGACGCACGCCATGAAGCTCCGACCCAGGATGGACATAGGCTAGAATCTTCCCGGTAAGACCGGTGCCCACAGATTATTAGAGATGGGTTGATCGGGATATCAGAATTAGCCAGTAAGGGCTAGAGCTAAAGGGCCAAGCAGTGTTTAAATGAATACAGTTTGTGTGTTGTTATTTTGGGTAAAGCTAGCCGTGCGGGCGGCTGGGGTGCTGGGGACGCAGCCCCGCCGCCCGTATTACTACAAGTGTCTGTCGGGACTTGTTTCCCACCTAAGTACCCTGTCTCCCACCCGCCTGCCTTTATCCACACTGAAGTCTGCAGCCTGAGAGGCCTGAGCCCGGGCGGGCCCTTAGAGAGGGAGTCACGCACCAGGTAAAAAGGCGGAAAGAATGATAGTTACGACATGACCCCAAGCCACACAGGGCTACAGAGCCTCTGCGTGTGATTCTCGTCACCTGACAAACTGCACCAGCTGTAGTTTGTGAGGATTCATTTTCTCTCGCTCTCATTACTTCGGGTGGAAAGGAAAATTAAAAAAAAAAAAAAAAAACAACTATCATGGCCTGGCATGGTGGTCCACGTTAAAGGTGGTCCACCTTTAATGCCAGCACTCAGAAGGCAGAGGCAGGCAGATCTCTGAGTTTGAGGCCAGCCTGGTCTACAAAGCAAGATCCAGGACAGCCAGGGCTACACAGAGAAAACCCTATCTCGAGGGAGGATGGGGAAGCGGATGAATGTATTGTAGAACAATAGTAATTCATTTGCATTGCTGTTTATAAAATGCTGTTTGTTTTTTGTGTTTTCTTTTTTTCCAGCCGTCAAAAATAACGATTAACCTAGAGGAAAACGTGCAGTATGTGTCCATGCGAAGTAAGTCGACTCCTGAGTAGGTTTGAGTGTCACACGGTGAACATGGCTAGATTTTTGTTTGGTTGGTTTTTAGTTTGGGGTTTTTCGTTTTGTTTTTCTACCAGCCTCTGCTTCCCGAGTGCTGGGGTTAGAGGCATGCACCCCCGCCACTACCCCGGAACGTGATTGGTTTTGCGCATGCACAAGGTCGTAGAACAGAAGTGAAACGATAGTGAAGGGTACCTCCGTGACTGAGTTGGGGTGCAGTGACGTTACTGTTCGTGTCACCTTCGCCTCCTTTCCACGTGGTATCTTGTGGCCCCTTCACTCTTCCTGGCTTTACTCTGTCATAGGTTCATGTCTAGGGTATCGGATGATCTTTGTGATCGATGGCCCCGTCATTGATTTCCTCCTGATTTGGTTCCTGCCACGAGGACCGTTTTCATTTACAGACGCCCAGATATAGATCCTACAGACTGTCCTTTGTTTCCCTCAGTGTCTGCCACCATCTCCCCTGTGGCTGGTCAGCAAGCTGGGTCAGCTTGACCCTTGAGATGTTTCTTTTTTTTTTTTTAATATTTTATTTATTATTTATACAGTATTCTGTCTGTGTGTCTGCCTGCAGGCCAGAAGAGGGCACCAGACCTCATTACAGATGGTTGTGAGCCACCATGTGGTTGCTGGGAATTGAACTCAGGACCTTTGGAAGAGCAGGCAATGCTCTCAACCACTGAGCCATCTCTCCAGCCCCCCTTGAGATGTTTCTTTCCACTGCCCCACACCAGCTGATTAGGGCATCTGTACTCGAGTGACTAAGCTTCAAAATACAGCTGTGGATTGTCATCCACCATGAACGAGGAGGCCAAGCCCCAGAGAGAGTAATTAAGCAGCTTGCTTAAAGTCAGTGTCCACACGGTTAGCTCTGAAGCCCACGTCTTCATCCCGTCCATGTAGACCACCTCTTAACTACCAGCTCTGGCTCTCCCAAGCCCAGCCAGGGCTCTGCTGCCTCTTCCCCTCTAGCCTGAACCCCACTGTGATCCCACTTCTCAGATGCCACTTTGTCCCTCCTTGGAGTGGGGAGCACCGTGCATCATCTTCCTGTGCTGCTCCTAGCATCCTCCTCTGTGAGCACCCAGTCAGTTCTCCACTCCAGTAAAGATGGCGCTTCTTGTTCTCAAGTGGCTTTGAATACCACTCAGCATACCATGGTTTATAGCAGATCTCCTTATCGGGTCCATGCAGTTCTCTTGGTGGGGGAGCTGTCCCCCAGCAGAGATGTTCAGTTAGATTTGTTCTTTATAAAATGGCTGACACCCTCGGAATGTGCTTAACCTACGCTAATAATAGGACTAAAACCCAATAAATGTCTAGCCAGTGAGTGAGTGTAAAATGGAAATAATGAACCCTGGCTTGTCTCGTAAGCATCATTCGATATCGTGTTCCCAAGTACCGTGATAACTCAACAGATTCTGCGTGAAGTTAAATGTTCAGCCTTTAAGAATAATGAAGTACACCTTGGCATGGTGTGCACACCTTTAATCCCAGCACTCAGGAGGCAGAAATAGATCTCTGAGTTTGAGGCCAGCCTGGTCTACAGAGCAAGTTTCAGGATAGCCAGGGCTACACAGAGAAACCCTGTCTTGAAAAAAATCAAAGGAAAAGGGGAAAGAATAATGAATGAAGTACATTTGCTCATACATCACGATCACGATTTTAAAAGATCATATTAAAAACCATTCGCCTCGAGAGATGGCTCAGTAGTTAAGAGCACTTGCTACTCTACCAGAGAACCCTGGCACCTCCATAGTGGCTCGCAACCACTGCAGCTCCAGTTCCAGAGGATCCCTTGCCTTTTTCTGACCTCAGTGGGCGCTAGACATACACACGGTGCACACACATGCAGGCAAAGCACTCATACACATAAAATAAGTAGATATTTTTAACATTAAGAGAAACCGTACCTGTGACCTGAGAATGTTGCTCGGCAGTAATGCGCTTGTCTGGCACCTGTGAAGCCGGGCTCACACCTCAACGTGCCCCAAAGAAGAAAGAATACCAACTGTATATTGACACATAAACGTGTGTTGTCAGATTATATGTATGAAATGAGGGCATTTGATTCTCTAATCATTTCTAATCCTATGCCTGAGAAGCAGAGGTGATTACAGAAATTTCTTGAAGGAATATGAAACTTGCGAAAATAGTTACTAGAGGAAACTCACTCCAGCCTTTAAGGGAACCTAATGCCTTTGCTCAGACCAGCCGAGGCCGATTTGCCTTTCATCCATTAGAGAACTGTTGCCATAGAAACTAGCGTGGGTCTCTGTTGCCATCTTCTGTGATCCTAAGGGACTGAGCATTGTCAGCTCATGTGCCGTGCTCTCGTTTGCAGAGGCTCTGAAAGTGAAAAGGCCCCGTTTTGATGTGTCGCTGGTGTACTTGACTCGCAAGTTCATGGATCTCGTCAGATCTGCCCCCGGGGGCATTCTTGACTTAAACAAGGTTGCCACAAAACTGGGAGTCCGAAAACGGCGCGTCTATGACATCACCAACGTCCTGGATGGAATCGAGCTGGTGGAAAAGAAGTCCAAGAACCACATTCGGTGGATGTGAGTTTACGTCCGTCATTCCCGTTCTTTCCCCTTCTCATTAGGATCTGTCCAGCTGCAGCAGTGTTCAGGAATAGAGAATGAGGCTTTTATGATTCTTCTTAGGCAAAGACTGGGGTTTTCTTGTCTCGTAGTATACTTAGATGTAAGTGACTACATAGGTCTAAACGGGAACATTAGGTGTAGAAGAATATCATTCAGATGGTGTGGAAAAGTTAAATGGAATAAGGGGGTTAATTAACTAATTTTCCCTATAAGATGCTAATAATGAAACATCTGATAAAAGAGGAAATTTTAAAAATGTATTTTCTTAATGTGAAATTAATAACAGAAGACATGATTCCCATGGGGCAGTAGAATACACAGCCAGAAACCCAGCCCCTTCCTGGCTTGGATTGGTTTTTTTCTGGAGAGGAGCAGGCATCTGCCTTCTTAGCAGGTTCACTGCATGGCGGTGGAGCAGGTGAGCTGACACTGCCCTGAGGGTAAACACACACTCCATGGCCTAAAGGCAGTTGCTAAAGAGTTGACATGACTGGGAAGGGTCTCGTAGAAAGAAGCCTGAAGCTAAGACACAGACAGAGCTGTGTGTGCACAGAAAAAAGCTGTATACTTAGGAAAAAGAATTCCGGCATTGAAGTACATTACAGATACAATAGGCAATGTAAAACCCAAAGGTCTTCAGATGGCTAAGGAATGGTTGAGGAAAAGCGCCTGAAGGACACTGGTTTAGGACAGAAGGCAGGCACGTTTGATAAGAACTGTGTCAGCCGTTCTGAACCTTTAATCCCAGACTCGGGAGACAGAGGCAGGTGGCTTTCTGTGCTGAGGCCAGCCAAAGCTATATTTAGAGAGACTGGCCCAAGAAAAGAAGGATGGGCATAATCACATAGATGGTGTTAAAGGAAATGCAGACGCTCTCCCTTAGCCTGCTCCCCTCCACAGGCAGCCTGCTTCCCTTCTGGCCCCTGCTGACTGCATGTCTGTTTCCTTCCGTAGAGGATCCGACCTGAAGAACTTCGGAGCCGCACCCCAGCAGAAGAAGCTCCAGGCCGAGCTCTCGGACCTGTCGGCCATGGAAGACGCCTTGGATGAGTTGATTAAAGACTGCGCTCAGCAGCTGTTGGAGTTAACCGACGACAAAGAAAACGAAAGATATCCTTCCATCCAAACCTTTGTAGAGTTTCTGCTTCCAGTGTAGATAGGATGTCTGAGAGAGACTTTGGGGGTTAATTTTCTTAATCGGGATATAAAATTAGGCCCTTAAAAGTTAGAGTAAACACAAGTACAGTGCTGTGGCTTAAACACACATGAGCAATTCATGTTGGTGTTGACTCTGCTCCCGGGCCAACTCTGCATGACGGCCGTTGTCAGAGACATACCCAGTTTGTTGTGGCTTCTTAAAATTAAGGAGTATTTGTTTGTTTGGTTGGGTTTTGTTGTTGTGTTTTTTGTTTTGTTTTTGTAATCCTGGATGGTAAATTGTTTATCAGCTATTGTGAAAATCAGGTTTTCCCTAATCTGTGAACTAGTTTCTTTCTGAAGTAGACTGTGCTACTGAAGTTTGTCTGTGCTCGTCACTGCATGTGGAAGCCTTGTGGAGCAGGAGCTGGGAGGGCCTAGGCCTAGGAGCCTGCGCCTGCTGGGCCCCCAGACCACCCTGCTGGGCCCCCAGACCACCCTGCTGGGCCCCCAGACCACCCTGCTGGCTGTGTCTCAGTGCCCTCTATGAGTGTCAGTAATTCTCCTCCCTCCCCCCCCCCCCCCCCCCCCAGCAGTCAAACCTATACCACAGGACAGATCTTAGAAAATCAAAGCCAGGGCTCCCAGAGACTCGCAGCCACGCAGAGACTCTAGTCTAAAAGGAAGAAAGCCAGAGCAACTGGACTGAGGGAGTGCAGAGTATCTGGCAGCCTCGCAGCAGGAGTTGAAGGCACTGAGTGACAGAGAGGCCGCAGGTGTGTGATCACGCCGGGAACTTGCTCTTCCTATTTTGTAGACTTTTTTCTGCCTTCTGGAGGGTTCTTACCCGAACCCTGAATGCTTTCTTCTCAAGCTCCCATAGTAAGAGCGAACCCTAGGCTCTTAACAGTGAATGAGTTCACACTGACTGTAGTGTAGGTGGGAATTTGAACATGCTGCTTTCCCCTTTTCTGTGGTTCTGCCTTCTGTAATGGCTGTTGCCCACAATCAGGTATGATCTAAAAAATATTAAGTGAAAATTCTAGAAGTAAAAACTTTCAGTGTGTTATAAATGCACTATTATTATTGGTTTGTTTGGAGGGTTTTTGGGTTGCTTGTTTGTTTGCTTTTTGATTTTTTGGTTTTTCGAGACAGGGTTTCTCAGTAGCTATGGAGCCTGTCCTGGAACTCGCTCTGTAGACCAGGCTGGCCTTGATGTCACAGAGATCCACCTGCCTCTGCCTCCCGAGTGCTGGGATTAAACGCGTGCGCCTAATTTATAGATTGAACCTCACTGTAGAAGCGTGTATGAAGAGTGTATGTAGGGAAATGCATACTATGTATAGGGTTTAGTTTTGGCTCCTGACTACTGAGGATTTGGAACATCCACCCAGCACTCCACCCCAAGGGAATTATTACCTTCGTGAGTTGTGTCTACATTCAGTATTTGGGCTTTGTTCATATCTTTCTCCACAAATTGCTCCAGTCAGTATTTGGTTTAAAATAATTCTTTGTTATAAATATTATAAAACACCATAAAAATCTTAATTTTTTTCTGGGGGGGTATTTTTTATATTTTGCTTATACGAATGTTCTGTTTGCATGTATGTATGTGCACTCCTTATGTACCTGGAGGCCCAAGGAAATGAAAAGATAGCTTCAGATCTCTTGGAACCTGAGTTAGGGTTGTGAGCCACCATGTGAGTGCTGGGAATTGAACCTGGGTCCTCTACAAGAGCAGCCAGTGCTCTTAACCACTAGGCCACCTCTCCAGCCCCAAGGATTCTTTTTGAAATAAAATTACCAGGAAGTTTTGGCTTTTCTTTGAACTGTTTACCTTCATTGTAAGTTTGTATCCCATAAAAGCCAAGCTATTTTAGTACCCGCATTCACATAAGAGGTGATCCGCCCTTGTGTGCTGGTGCGGGCCTTTATTTCTAGCCCTTTGGAGTCAGAGAAAGGCAGGTCTCTGAGTGCAATGCTAGCCTTTTCTATATAGCAAGTTCCAGGCCAGCCAGAAGTAAATAATGAGACTTTGCCTCAAAAACCAAAAAAAAAAAAAACAGGGGCGGGGCTAGGGGTGGTGTCCTGGCCATCTCGTCAGATCCTTGACCAGCTTTCACACTAGCGTATGTCACCTATCAGGACATCCACAGCATCCAAGCCTTCCACGAACAGATTGTCATTGCAGTGAAGGCTCCGGAGGAGACCCGACTGGACGTTCCGGCTCCCAGAGAAGTAGGTAGCGCTGCACTGCAAGGAGTAAAAGAGGGAGGTGGGTTAGCTTCCAGGTCTCTGAGCGCTACAGTCGCTTGTCATCTGTGTCCTTGTCAGCTTAACTGTGAGTGAGGTGAGAGAGCCAAGCACAGAGGAGTGGGTGTGCTTCGGGAACCCAGACAGTGGCCAGCAGGACCAGGCGTAGGACGGAGTTTGGCTGGCAAGTGCTGTTAGCCATGCTGCCACTGTCAGGCTGCAAAAGAAACCGCTCCATTGGCCTTAGTCTTCAGGCTCCAGAAGCAATGGCTGGTACGGCCGGAGCTCCCGGGAACTAGCTTGCTACCTACTAGCTCACCAAAGACTGAGAATGAGCTAGACACCGAGTCATGGGCGTAGAGCCTGTGTAAGGCCAGCCTTCCTGTCTGCTGCCAGGTACGCCAGGAAGGTTCGTGTTGAGAGTACTTGTCCCCAGAAGGCCACTTGATGAGGACGGAGTCCAAACCAAAGCCAGTGGCCCTTGGCATTCTGATGACTGGGTGGCCTCCATGCTGCTCATAGGCAGCCGTCACATACGTAAGGATTATTTCCACCACCACCTTTCTGACAGTGTGTCATCAGTCACAGAGGAGCACTCACTTTTCCTTCAGTCTCATTCGAATTGTGACTTGGTGACGTTCCCTGGTCGGATTTGAACTGAGACAGTGTCCGAGTAACATTTTCAGGAGGAGTTATTTCCACAGATGCTCAGCTCTTTCAATAGCCACTGATCTTGCAGAACGGCTTTTCTTTGGGGCGTGGCAATCCATTCTACAGGACTTAGTGGGGTTTGGTCTCCTAGTGCTCTGAGCTGCTTGGCCGGAATTGTTAAATCTCTGTGAACCTCTGAGCACTCCCAGTCCCATTTAGAGCTCTGTGATTCAGTCCTCCAGGCTGGCTGTTCTCGGCAGTATCCTGGATCAGTAGACTATGTACGTCTCTAGTGGGAACTGTGCACCTAGTATAGGGCTTGCACTGTGGCCTTCAACTCGCTCTGGCCTCCTACTTGTCCTTGTAAATAGTTTTGTTGGAATGAGGCCACCTCTTTAGATATCACCCATCTGCTTTCATGCCACCGTGGTAGGGTTAAATAGTTGTGACAGACAGCATAGCCTAAGAAGTCATCTCTGTCTGCTTTATAAAATGTTTTGAAAACATGGGTATGGGTATGCGCACGTCAGTGCAGATGCCCCGAAGCCTTGGTGTTGGCTCTCCTGGCGCTGGAGTCACAGGTGGCTGTGATCACCCTGACATAGGCGCTAACATCCAAGCGCTAATCCTCTGCAGAAGGAGCGCACACTCTGTTTTTTGTTTTGTTTTTTTGTTTGTTTTTGTTTTTTGTTTTGTTTTTGAGGCATGGTTTCTCTATAGCTTCGGAACCTGTTCTGGAACTCACTATGTAGACCAGGCTGTCCTCAAACTCCCAGCTGAGCACACCCTGTGAGCCGCTCTTAGTTCCCCAGGAATCCTCTTTACAGAATGACTTAGTGGCTGGTGGAGTTTGGGGAACAACATTGTTCCCATGCATTGTCTAATGATAAAAGGTTCTGTTTAAACCAGACCCGCCCTGACTTTCCAGCCACAGAGCACAGAGGTGGTTGGCCTGTCTCTCCTACCTGGTACCAGAGGACTTAAGAGGGTCCAAGTCTCTCTGAGAAGCAGAATCTCACCAGCTTGCTTGAATGAGATCCCAGAAAGGGGAGGAGCTAGAGCAACGGTGCTGTCTTGACTGGCCCATCCATGTGGATGTGGGAAGGGTGGACTTGAGGAGAGCCAGGCCAGCTCCCAATGGGAAAGATGAGGAATCGTACGAATATGCCTCTAAATATACTCAACCATTTTTTTAATTTCTTATGGGAAAGCCTTTGGAATTTGCTCCTGGGTAAATAAAACTGAAGCCAGAGGATAATAGTCATTTATTCTAGTTCTTCTCTTTGTGTCTGATGTTTCATCTTTTCCTCTTACATCTTTTAACTGAAAACTCGCCTTCCTGGGAGCTCAGTACCTCTGCACTAGTTTGGAAACCCCGACACCTTCTTGTGCAATACAATGGGGTACCCCAGAGCTCCCTGCCGCCAGAGAAGGGGAGGGGATTCCTGAGGACTCAACTGTCCATCTGACAGCTCCAAGACTACTGGCTACCTGCACGGTTAAGAGGTCTTTCCTGCAAATTGGCCAGTAGTGTAGAATGTAGTAACAGTCGAAAACATGATTTTCTCAAATGCACGGTGGGAAGGAAACCATAAGAATGAAGTTCATTGAAAACCTGTGACTAGTGGGTACCAGGGCTCACCTTGACGGTTTCTGTGTCCCTTGCTAGGACTCTATCACAGTACATATCAGGAGCACCAAAGGACCCATTGATGTATATTTGTGTGAAGTAGAACAGAATCACCCAAGTGGTAAAACAGCCGATGGAGCAGGGGCCTCTCCATCTAAAAGCAAACATCGAGAATGCCCAGAGAAAGGTAAACATTCTAATTTTGTGATTAGAGAAACTTTATAGATAACTTGAATACATATCTTTAAGGTTTTTCATGATTTTTTTTTAATTATGTCTGTGTTTGCGTGTGGGTATGTGCACATGAGGGGGCCAGTGGTATTGCCTCTCATGGAGCTGGAGTCACAGGCACTCGGGAGCCAGCAGGTGTGGGTGCAGGAAAAAGAGCCCTGGTCCTTGGGAGGAGCGATGGAGCTCTGCACTGCCGAGCCATCTCTCTAGCCTCTCCATAAGGAATCAGTACACTCCTGTAACCCCAGCTTAGGGGATGCTGAAGCGGGCAGATCCGAATTACAAGTCAGTCTCAGCTCCATAGTGAGAGTCAATTTGTGGGAGCACCAACTGCTAGACTCTTGCCAGAGAAAGCTGTCTGCACTCTCTGGCAGGTGCTTTCCAGCCATGGGCTGGAGTTCCCGTTTGTCCTATGAGCCTGAAAAGATCATTCCAAAAGAGAATTCTGTGTGAGAGAAGGTTCTTGACCAGACAGCTTCATTTCTTTCAACTCTTGAACAGCGCGCCCAGCTTCTTCACGGCCTTCACTCCATGTCTTTGTGTCTCGTTTCAGAAGACAGGCCTCCTCAGTGAAAGCCGCTCGGAGTGGGCGACCGATAGCAGTGCACAGTGATGAAGGGCCTCCTGTGTGGACGGATTATGTCCTGGTTTGATCCTCAGCAATAAGTCTTCATAGAGCGCGCTGGGTCTCCCATTCTAGATTCATAGCAGCGCTGAAGGCCAGTAGTGGTAGTGTTCTTGAGTAGCTTCCTGCTTAGGTTCCTGGATGGTTTCCACGTTCAGAATTAACTTTTGATAACTCTTCACTGCCTCTTGTCAGTGAGATGGACCTCTGCCTCCTGAAATCATTTTATCGCAAAGAATGTCACAAGGACAGACAGACGACCAGCTGGTTGTGGACTCTGCCCTTCCCTGATGGACGTTGTCAGCTTCTGAGAAGAATTGCCTTACCCTGGCTCACATTCGCCCTTAGGTGTCGTGCACTGGTGAGGTGCACACACAGGGCCAAATGTGGCGCCTTTGTACATATCTGTATCATGTTGAGATTGCTTATGAAATATGTCTGATGACACCTCTAACCTAGAACAACCAAAATAATGTATATAGGGAAAAATGACAGACAGATCTCTACTTCAGTATCGATAACTTATTAGAACCCTCTGGATGGGGTGAGTTTTCCATGTAGGAGTTCCACAGATACACTGTGCATTTAGATCCATGTACTTAAAGTGTTTTATTACAGCTCCCAGTACTATTATGGGAGTCAGATACTTCTTGATTTTAAGCTGCCTGCAGAGTCACTGTGTCCCAGTAGAATGGTGGCGTGCCTCGAAGCGTTGGGGGCACATAAAGGAATGCCCTCGGCAACGGGTCAGTTCACCCCAGGGTGAACCTGGTCCTGGTGAAAGGGAAAGCATTATCACGCTTTCTGCGAGCAGATTTTATAGTGTTTGTGTGTGCAGCCTGGCTCCTCTGTCAGAGGGGCTTCCCTCCCCTGCATTCATTGTACCCTGCCCCCACTCCAGCTCTCATCCCGCCTTCCCAAGCACCTAGCTACTTCTACCTCAGTGGGTAAGTCATTTACCTCTCTGTGCCTCAGTTTACTCAGTAACTTACCACTAGACTGTGAGCTCCGCGAGAAAGCTTTCCGTACTTGTGCTCAGCACCTCGCACCGCACCTAGTCCGGAACAAGTGCCCAATAGACGTCTAGCCAACCAGTGAGCGGGTGAGTGTGGCGTGCGGCCCATGGGACCTGGCTTGTTGTCTCAGGGTCTGGGGAGCATCATTGGTGTGTTAGATCTCTCATTTTACAAAAAATTGGAAGCAACTTGAAATAATGACCATGTATGCAAAAAATTCAAGTAGGGAATCCAAAATTAAAGTATTAAAAAGATAATCCTGCCTGGTGCTTTTGATTCACAAAGTCTCTGCTGGTATTTTTTTTTTTTTTTTGATTTTCGAGACAGGGTTTCTCTGGTATATATATATATATTTAAAGACATTTATTCAGCCTCATGATAAGACTGTTACATTTAGCAATCAACAGCATGAGTAAAAAAAGGTCTACAGTAAAATCCTTTGTTGGAATGCTTGACACTTTCCTCAGAACAGAAACTAAAATAGCCTGTTATACAATTAGCCACAAATACAGTCCTGGAGTTGTTTTGCCCGTACACATGAGTATTGTCTAAAACATGGCTTCTTTGTAGCAGCCAGGCCCTGCCACCACTGCGCTTGGCTGAGTTCACAAATCTGTTGTGACCTGTAGCTTCCCTGGCACTTCTCTGGCTCTCCTCTCCTGCTAAGCTTTGTCTCCTGACTGTAATTAGAACCTCTTGCCACTGCCATGGCTGCTGCTGCTGCGACCACCAGAGCCACCTTGGTTTCGTGGTTTAGCAAAGTACTGGCCTCCGCCACCATAAAGGCCAGAGCTTCTGCCTCCAAAGTCTCCTTTCATTGGTCCAAAAACTGAAGACTGATTGTTGTAATTGCCAAAATCATTGTAGCTTCCCCCACCACCCAAACTGCTTCCATCATTACCGAATCCATTACAGCCATCCCCACTGCCACCATATCCACCACCACCACCACGGCTGCCACCAAAGCCATCACAACCACTGACGTTTCCCCCTCAACCAAAACTCATTTTGCCAAAACCGCCTCCACGACCACCACCAAGGTTTCTCGAAACACTTGGACCTCTTTGGCTGGACGAAGCACTAGCCATCTCCTGCTTGGATAGGGCTTTTTCTTACTTCAAGGCTGTGCCCGTGTACACTATGGTATTTCTGAGTAACAGTCTTGACCACAGAGTCATGGTCCTCAAAGGTGACAAAAGCAAAAGCTCTTTTTTCCACTGCCTCTGTCGGTCATGATTTCAGTCGCTTCAATTTTCCCATACTGCTCAAAATAGTCTCACAGGTGATGTTCTTCCGTGTCTCCTTGATACCACCAGCAAAGATCTTCACGGTTAAGTGGGCCCCTGGTCTCTGAGAATCCTCTTGACACAGCTCTCTTAGGTTGCACAACTCTCGCAGCCACCTTTCGGGGTCTTGGATTCACAGTGGCATCCACTTCCTCTGCTGTGGTGGTGTGTGTAACAATCCCAAAGGCCCAGGATCACTTGGTGTTTGGGTAACCGTAACCACACAGTCTGTGAGTGTTCCCCATTTCTCAAAATAGCTCCTCGGACTCTCCCGTTGTTGTGAGGCTCAGCCCTCCAGAGAAGAGCTTCGACAGCTGTTCCTTGACGGCAGGGAAGTGAGAGCCTTCGGCGATGTTTTCTTGGCCGCATCAATAGGCAGAAAGGAGTAAGCCAATGAACGTGTCCTCTGCTGGGGTATTTTCAGATTCCTAGAAATTACTGGTAATCAGTATGTTTGGCCTCCAGATGTCCCTTCCTTTCTTGTGTATAAAATGTTATCGTTTGAAATTAGCTAAAGGACTTAGCACACAGTTGTTCTCAACCTCCCTAACGTTGCGACCCTTTAATATAGTTCCTCGTGTTGTGGTGACCCCCAACCATCAATCATTTCAGTTCAGTTCAGTTATTTTCATTGCTACCTCATAACTGTAATTTTGCTACTGTCATGAATTGCAATAACAAATAATAAATATCTGTGTTTTCTGATGGTCTTAGGCAACCCCCTGTGGAAAGGTTGTTCTATTCCCACAGGGGTCATGACCTACAGGTTGAGAGCTGCTCGCTTAGAAACTACTCCATTTCCTTAGTGGAATGATTGGGCAAGACAGGGAGCACAAGAGGAACAGCAAAGTGGGTAACAGTTACACATTTGACGGAAGGGAAAGTTCCGCCATCTGTGTGTAGTGGCCCCGGGCCCTGGGAAGAGCTGAGCTCTGTAGAGTGCACTGGCAGATGGTTCGTGTGTGCCTGTTAAACAGGAGAGGGAAGGGGCTCATATGGTGAGGGCACCTACTGCCAGAAGAGGGTTCCAGGAGCGGGCGGGTCGGAGGGTACAGAAGAAAGGATAATGAGAGGAGGGAAAGCTGTGGGCAGTGTCCCGGATTCAAAGGGATCATTAGCAAAGGGAAGCAAAGGTTTCCAAGCCGTGGGACTGGCAGACTGCGTGAAGTTTGGCATGCATGAAACCCTGTGGACGAGAACCTCTCTAAGTTGTAAATGTGTCTAAATGAAGTATCTCCATAGCTCAGTCTGCTGTTTGGCCTCCTCCTTTTAGGACTGGTGGAATGGGGTCCAATGCAGCTTAGTTTCCAGGCCTTTCCTTCACTCTTCCCCATGAGGATGCTACCCACTCTACTCCTAGTGCCTGGGCCACCCCTTCCGCGCTCTGCTTCTACTTCTGAGTCTAGACCTGTGGAGGTACGTGCCTGAGTGTCCGCGCGCATGCGCATGCTCCCGCCTTTCTCCAGTTCTCCACGAGGAGCAGTGGCTTCCTTCTTTTTTATTAGGTATTTCTGTGAAGTGTCTTCGAGCAAGTGTTCACAGTTTCCCTAGGGAAGTGGCTCTCTGTACCGAGATATATAGCAGGAGAAGGGAACGTCTGAAGAGAGAACTCCAGTGTCAGGTAAAGAATGTTTGGTATTGCTCCTGCCTCCCTGCTGCAGACACAGTTACAAGAAAAGGGCTTGGCTTCCCTATCGTCTGGAAAAGGAACTAAATATCAAGGATCCTATCACTTGGGCCGACTCTTGGAGAACTTTGTGTCTAGGGAAGTATACACTGTTGTCTTGAGGAAATGGGCTAGTCAGTGACGTGCTTGCTGCACAAGGTCTGAGGACCTAAGCTTGGATCACCAGCACCCACATGGAAGGCTGGGCATCGGGCACATCCCTGTCACACCAGCACTGGGAGTTCATTGGCCAACTGCCTAGCCACATGGAGCTCCGTGTTCAGAGAAAGACACTATCAAAAATAAAATGGAATGTGCCCAAGGGTGCTCTTGGTTGTTTTTTGCTCTTTACTCTTTGTCCTTTTTTAGGGGACCCGCCACCCAGCTCCCAAATGAATCACACACAGTCTTATTAGTACTGCTGAATGTTCAGCCTTAGCGTGGCTTGTTGCTAGCCAGCTTCTCTTTAAATTAGCCCTTCTATCTTTTCCCTCTGGGCTTTTATCTTTCTTACTTTCCTTCTTACTCCGGGACTGACGCCCCTGGCGTCCTCCTCTTCTTGTACCCTTGCTTCTACTTCTCTCTCCAAATTTCTCCTTCTGTTTATTCTCTCTGCCTGCCAGCCCCACCTAGCCTTGCTCCCTGCATTCAGCTCTTTATTAGACCATCAAACGTTTTAGACAGGCAAAGAATCACAGCTCCACGGAGTTAAACAAATGCAGCATAAACAAAAGCAACATGCCTTTACATCGTTAAACAAGTGTTCCAGAGCATAAACAAAAGTAATGCATCTTAAAATAATTTTCCACAACACAAGGGGGACACCCAGTATCAACCTCTGACCTTCACATACACTATACAACACATGCACACATTTTAAAACAGTCTCCTGTGGAGGGCAGGTACAGCTACAGTTAGTTATTACAAACTTAGACATCCAGCAAAATCTAGAATGCTTTTGGGGCATAACTAGGGTGCTGCTGTCACCTATGACGACAGGGATGTTCCATGATAAACCTAGGCAGCAGATTTACCCAGTCCAGAGTGTCAGTGGGGTTGAGGTCAAGAAGCCCAAATTAAGGTAACAGGCAGGTACCCTGTCCAGTTCACTGATGACAACCTTGTCCCCAGACACCTCCATCAGTAATGAGATTGTGTGAGACAGGGTCTCTCTATGTAGCCCTGGCTATTCTGGAATTTGTTATATAGGCCAAGCTGACCTCAAGCTAACAGAGATCCGCCTGCCTCTGCTTCCCAAGTTCTGGGATTAAAGGCGGGTGCCGCCACAGCTGTTTTAGTAATGAGATCTTGACCGATCTCAGGTTTCTGTGCTGAGCAGTTGACACTGCACATGGAAGAGGAAAAGAAAGAATTTCCAGGAAAAGGTTCTTACAGCATTGGAGCTCCACACTACTAGGAAGGACTAAACGCGGCTGCTAACAACAAAAATCTCCAACAAAGTGCCTAAAACAAGATGAACATGTGTTTATGGAATCCAGAGTGGGAAATTCACTCCCTTCAGGCCTCCTCCCAGGTGATGTCAGGCTTGTCTTCTGCTACCAGGGTCACACCAGAGTCCAAGGACACCCAGCCGGTGTACATACTAGCCAATAGGAAGGGCGAAGACAGGAGATGATGCTCCTTTGGCCTTTTATGGGGTTTTTATTGCTGTAAAGAGACAGCATGACCATGGCAACTTGTATGAGGTGGCTCACTTATAGCTCAAAGGTTCAGTCCATTATCATCATGGCCGGAAGCTACTTTTAATTAATAATTTGTATTTTATGTGCATTGCTGTTTTGCCTGCATGTATGTCTGTGTGGGGTGTCAGAGCCCCTGAAATAGGAGTTATAGACGGTTATGAGCTACCATATGGGTGCTGGGAATTGAACCCAGTCCTCTGGAAGATCAGCCAGTGCTCTTAACTGCTGAGCCATATCTCCAACCCGATAAGAGGCTTGTGATTCTGGGTGGTATCTTGAGCATAGGAAAGCTCAAAGTCCTCACAGTGACACAACTTCCTCCAACGAGGCCATACCTACCCCACCAAAGCCACACCTCCTGATAGTGCCACTCCCTATGAGCTTATAGAGGCCAATTACATTTAAATTACCAGAGGGCCCTTCTGCAGGCTCACACTGACGGCACTGACCACTTCATAACCACAGACTTAGAATGAGATCTTGAGGTGGGCTTAGCCACGTGCCGGGCTAACCAGGAGCTTTGCTCCTGAAGAAGGGAGGGATAGATCAGGATGGAATGCTCATGAGAACAGTTAGCAAGCCCCGGTTCTCCCCTTCTGGAG